AAAAAAAAAAGGTTCAGGGACTTTCACGACTTTTACTCTAAATTTAATTCAGCCTTGTCCAAATATAAGGTTAATTTATTTGTTCAAATTAGCTACTCGTCAAACATATTCTATTTTCAAGTAAAAGGATATTTTTGTGGATTCACCTTTAGTCACTTGCTCGTCATTCATTTTGTGCCACAAGATCGATATCTAAAGAAACACGTAATGGCCTTAATAGGCTAGTATACTAATAAATAAAATACGAAACATACATCTATCAACGGTAAATACCCAGAATTAGAGTAAGAAAAGCGATAAAATTGATATGATATAATATTCTGCTAAATGTACATTATCATGAAGCGTGTGCGCTTATTTATACAAGCAAAGATATATGATTAAGGGTTTCCTTACATATAAGATTCACAAGGAGTACATATGCATCTCCATTTCTTTTCATGACCATATCCATATATTTTTTCACGTACGCATTGTGAATAGTACGTCGAACCCTCACCTTCAATCCTATATATAAGTACGATCAATATTCTTCAATTTTAAAAGAGTAATCACCCCCCTTGAAAAGACTAGTGTCTAATATCGTAATTTCACTTTTAATCATGAAAATCTCCTCGTGACTTTCCACAAATGGAGCCCTAACAATTGTTGCTCCAAAATTAACTAATAACTATAGTAATAACTTTTTTGCTGATTAATAACTATATTAATAATTAATTAATTTAGCATAATCATCTGATCTATGTCTTAATTCATCAAAATGAACTAATTCTGACCATCATGTGAAGAGATTTGAAGCGTGGGAGCTGACCCGAGTACTTCTAAGTCTTTTCCCGATTTGGGCTTTATCTCATGATGATCATTAATATTTATAATATATGACTTTTGCTCTCCAAGTTTGATTGTTTTGTTACCAATCTCAGGCGAATAATTAGGACTGCTCATTGTAAGATCAAGGTTTAAATCCGGCAGCAGCGAGGAGGAGTTTTCGTCGTCTTCCAAGCAACTTCCGCCATCTGAAACCTCGTGATCACCGTTGCCACCGTGGGGTTTCGATGGACTAATTTTGATGGTGGGTGATGAAACAATTGCACTACCAACAGTTTGGGAGTTCTGGAGATCATGATTTGGACGAGAAAAAGACTGATTCAATCGATGATTGTTTGGATCAATTCCCATATTTATGAGCTTTCTCCTGAGATGAGAATTCCAGTAGTTCTTTATCTCGTTATCCGTTCTTCCCGGTAACCGTCCGGCAATCAGCGACCACCTACAATCATTGATGTAATTTTAAGACGTATTGTTACGTGAGATATTAGTCATGCGCATTTAGAATATGTGTAACGGTGTAATTAGAGTACATATGCATCCATTATTGTCAACATTAAAAAAGAGAGGGGGGGTGGTTTTTTTTTTTTTTTTTTTTTTTTTTTTTTTTTTT